TACTTTTAGGTTTCTGAGTTGGCGCTTAAAAATAATATATTTAGGATCATTTATAAGTATCTTTTCTAATGGTTGTAGATTGTGTTGGATTGTATTTGGCCATAGGATGTTAGGGTTTGCTGAGATTGATATATTGAGGTGTTTAAAGAGCTAGATAATTTTGAAGTTTAGTGAATGTCTATTGGGGCTATCTAATAAAGGTTGTGGATGTTGAAGTATGTTTATAGTTGACCACAGATTGTTTTGTAATTGTTGTAATCTGATACGGGTAGTAATTCCTAGAAGGTGAGAGTTATTCAGACATTGAAGAAAGTTAGTTGAGTGGTGTTGTAATTGAATATCCCAAATATTGCTAATATTATATAAATATAGGTTTAGCATAATACTATTTGGAATTAACGGAGAAATCTCTTTACATTTGGCTTAATAGTAAAATTTACTTATAAAATTTGCAGGTCCTTTCCAGATGATAGATGAATTGTCTATTAATACTAATTAACAATATTTTTTTAAAAAAAACAAATATTGAAATTATATAAACAATAACAATTATTTCTATTTGGGGTAAAAGTACATAGATGTATTTATATAATACTAATTCTATTATATAGAGGTTTTTTATATTAAAAGAGTCTATTTTGCAATATAAACAATTTTGAGATAATCGAGTTTAATTATTTGTTTTGATTTTTGGACTAATCCAGGATTAAGCAAATTTTACGATTTTGATTGATTAAATGTAACAGATAACTATCGGGTAATCCCGTACTGTGCTTGGCTTTAGACAGCTTCATACAAATTTTCTTTTACATTATCTCTATTTTTTATTATACAAATCACTTTTCATTTATAATTGAAAAATGTCAGTCATGTTAAAATTTATATGAATCTAATAAAAACTCATTTTTCAAAAAATTTGCAAAATAGGCCCTTTTAATGTGAAACACCCCATATGATAAACTTAACTAAATAGCAGTTTTTGGTTTAAAATATAGATTTTTTGTAGTTTCTAGATAAATATTGAAATGGTTTAAAAAACCAATAACAAATATACTAAACTAGAAGATCATAAAAGTCTAAGGTCTAAAGTTACTAATTTAGAAGTAATAAATTTATAATAACAAAAAAGTAAAAGATATAGAGAATATAAGTATAGTTAGATATAGTAATAATAGAAGGTTAAAAATTTAGATAATAGATAAATAGAGTATATATAAACTGATATAAGGATTTATTTAGAAAAACTTTTAGATTTGATGATTTGATTTTTAATACTGTCTGAAAAGTTAGTAAAAAACTAGTTATAAAGTTAATATAATATAATAGATTATATTTAAGCACTCTATAAAAGTAACTAAATAAGTTAGATCTTATATTAGTATATACTGTATATAATTTTATAATAGATCATGTAAAGTAAAAATATAAATTCTTATTAAATATTTAATAAATTATCAACAAGATTACCAAAGTTTTAAAAAAAATAATAAAATAAAAAGTAAAAATATCTTAAAATTATCAAATTATCTATATATAAAAAAAGCCAAAAATACTTTGTACAAAGTAATTGATATGTTTTAGAATAAAGATAATAATAATAATATAATAATAATAAAATAATAATAATAATAATTATAATAATATTAATATATGTTAGTATAAGAAGTTAAAGTATTGAAAGCAAGAGTTGAAGAGTTGAAAAAGATAGTTAAAAATAAAGAATTTTATATAAAAGAGATTATTAAAGAGAATTGGTAACAGAATAAGACTTATATAGATTTGGTAGTTAAGAAAAATATTTTGAAAGATTGAATAGCAAATTTGAAATTTTTATTATAAAGAAAATTACTACAAATCACTACTGGTGATCATCACCGGTGATTTATGATATATAATTAGGTGTAACTATACATGTTGGCAAAATCCCAAACTATTATAGTTTGGGATTGGGCATCCCAAATCCCAAACTCTGGCCAAACTCATATCTCAAAAACTTTATTAATGATCTTCATTTAAACAAATCATATAAATATTTATAGCTATATATAATATATTTGCAAAATTTTAAATTTATTTTTTTGATTCAATTTTTTATAAATAGCAATTGTATTTTTGGGGTTTGGGATTTGTCCAGGTTTTGCCAACAAGTATAGGTACAGCACAGTACCTGATTGCCGTAAATATTATATGCCGTAATGCCGTAATGCCGTAACGCCGTAATGCCTAATGCCATAATAAATATTATAATATAATACAGTACTATTACACTATAATATGATATGGTGCGAGTTGCATATGTACAGTACCCTCAGAAAGTATATCCGGTTACACAAAAGCACATATGGACTATGCTAAAAGATACGTAGAATACAGCAATGAAGACCACCCAAGAACATATGAAAAATTGAAGACAACGCTTTTAGAGGAATAGGAAAGGCTAGATGCATCGATGTCATGAATTTAACCAACAGTATTCCAAATCATACTGCTGAAGTTATTTCTAATGAAGGTTATGGCTGCAAATATTGATGCATTATCTTCAACATATGTATTGTAATGATATAGTATGTCGATATTTATTATTAATTTGCTAAGAAATAAATTTACATGTTTAGAAAATTTATGCTGTAACCGTGATATATTTTCTGAGAGCACTGTGCAACTTTACAGGCATCGAATACAGAATGGCTAAAGGGACCCTATCATTTTCCGAACAGACAATATCAAAATCCTGACAAGTTAGCCTGCATAAGATTAGGGTTGGTGTTAGTTCCGGTTAATTCTTGTCAGGATTTTGTTTGTCGAGAAAATGATAGTGATTCATGGCTGAAAAGCATTTAATCTGACTAGGAAAACGGAGTCCGTTGGGTTCCAGAGCGCCGCTTTGTATTTGCAAACACGTTTTAAAGAAATCTAATTATTTGTAAGATATTAATAAAAATTCTTAGTGTAAGCGTATAATTATCATATACTTATCTTTATATATCTGTCCAATGAAAGCTAAAGGTCTTTACCTCTGTAACATCGATTCTTAGATGCAATTTGACCAATTTAGCACTATGAATTAGGTTATAATGTAATTACAGTCGATTCTGGATATACCGAACTGCATATTCTGGGAGGTTTTGTTCGGTATAGAGTAAGTTCGTTATATAGTTTATTTTTTCTATACCGAACAGTTCGATATACAGAGCTAACCAATTAAATCATGTATAGGGTCACAACGGGTCAGTATATAATCGGAATTTCACGGAAATTCGCTCGAGATTTTTGCTCCCATTCGGAATCTTTAGGAACCGGTATTATATACAAACAAATAGTTCGTTATATCGAAATATGTGTACATAGCCTTGGGCTGGTAAAGAAGAGTTCGGGTGCGGTATATAAAAATTTACTATATAAGTTCGATATAGATAGCCTAAATTCTTATAAAAAATCGGTTCTGCCAGATCTGGTTCGTTATAACCCGAGTTCAGTATAAACAGGTTCGGTATATCCAGAGTAGACTATATATAATTTACATAAAAAATTGTTCTCACTTATTTGATTACAAAAATTTAAATTTGAATAATTAGTGTTCATTATACCTAAATATTCCAATCAGCTTATAAGATGCCATAAACAAATACATAAACCATTTTAATTTAAAAACGTACACATAAAACTTCTAAAACTAATCTGTCTGGATTACGAAAATAAATTGATTAATTTAAGAGTTAATCTACTGAACATCCCCCTAGGTTTTATTAAATACCATCCCCATAAAATTATTTATATTGATATTATTATGCATGCACGTACGTATGTAATGAACAGTTACACAATAAATTATGAGGTACAGGGGTTGATTAAAAAGTACGGGTCACTACTTACTTATTTCTATAATGATGTAACAATGATAGACAAATATAGTAATTATGAATCAGTTTTGACAGATTTTGATAGGGATTTTAATAAATAGGGGTTCGATCATTTTATAATCCAACTTCTACCACTTTAAGTAACAGTAAACAAATATCTACAAGAATCATTACCTGCTAAACCCTTTGTAGTAGTAAATGTGATTTTTGTATTTTAATATTGGAATCAATACAAATTATTTAGCAGTAAAGGAAAACTTTTGATATTGACATATAATATGTAACTTTAACTTTTGTCAAATATTTTTTGATTATTTAAAGTTGGATATTTCATTTTTACCAACATCTAATGTACATACATACACAACTTTTCATAACCAACATTTGACGCACTTTGCAGTACATACATACAACTTTGTACGTCCATACAATATCCAACATACAACAATCATGTTATTCACTACATGCATATATTCATTCATATTTGTACCAATGACGATTCACTCCAATATTAGCACCAATAATCAGCACACCTTTATACAACTCATCTTAATATACTGATATACTCAACAAATTTTTATACAACATGTTTTTAAACTATATATCTTGATTATTTTGCACAAAAGTTTTTTTTGATTGCTTAATAGATCCTTCATGTGCTAGAATTAGTAAAAGTTGACCACAAGCAGCTTTGTTTGTACCTGAAATAGCTTTTGAAGAGGCATCTAGATTGAGTGTTGAAATGCAATTTGAGAATTGGAAACATTTGAATTCGGTCTTAATGGTATATGGGAAATATACAGGTTTTGCTTGGCGAATTAAGAATAAGTACCCTGATAAGAATGGAGGTAGCATAGCGGGCTTTCATTGTAATTGGCTGATTTTTGTAGATCATCCCGTGATATTGCAAAAATATCATTGGTTAA